TTCGCTTCGTTTAGAACTAAGCTTTTTACACGCGATTTTATTTATTTATTTATTATTTATTTACAGTGCACCTTTATCGTATTTACAATGCATTCTAATCGCACAGTCGTGGAACAAACGATTTTCTAAGTCCATGACCGAAATTTCTGCAATTTCGAAGCAATAAGTACTACTCTTCTTGGAGTGAACATCTCCAAGATTGAACCGAACGTTTTTGATCTTTTCAGACATTTTATCTTTTTTTTCAAGAAAAAGCGGACTATAAACAGGTAGAACTGATTACTGCTTGATTCCGACAGTCAGCTCATCATAACCAATAGAACAGCGCGTCTTTGGTATGAGAGTAGACCAGGGATTTCAGCACATATATCTGTTTTCCTGCACATTCTAGACGTTTTCAAAAGACGTCAGGTTGACGTGTAAGGTGTTCTGAGTTACTCGAAAAGCTCTGAAATTCATTTAAAAATCATCCACCTTGGCTTGAAGAAGCCTAGTGTGTTCTGTTTAGTTAGGCTTTTTTTTGTTAAATAGGCCCATGCAGCCTCTCATGTGAATAGCATCAAGAAAAGTGCATGTATTTTGAAAACTTAGTGCTCAAACCAGGTGCAGGAAAAGTCTCTCGAGTCACTTTGTATCATCGAGATAGCTGTCAGTGTGCTTGCTATTTAGTTCTAATGATTTTATGCTTGTTTCGTCAGGATTTGTTGCTTGCAGGGAGGAGCGATTCCGCCAGACGTCAGAGTCGACGAACCAAGAGGGTTTTGTGGTGGTCAGTTGGACAGACGTTGGTACTGGTGCTCACTGGTGCATGGCAGATGCGTCATCTCAAAGGCTTCTTTGAAGCTAAAAAGCTTGTTTAGATCTTTTGTTCGAAATTGTTTCTTTTGTATCATTATTTATTCGAAGGAAAGATTTCTATGAAATGCCAAGTTTCGTCAGCATGAGCGAGCATGAGCGAGGCAGACTGTTTTGTGTATTGCTTCTCTTGATTGGGTTTTCACAGTGATATTCCTCTTGCGAATGGAATCGCAGCTAATGAATTAGCTATTTTTCATTGTTCTGTTCATATTTATTGCGGTGATTTGTTAAAATAAATTTTTGTCCAGTTGTCCGCTTCATTGTTTGCGTCACGATTACGCCGATGCGATGCATATCTTTCTCACAAGGGATCATTTGAGATCAGCAGGTTCATTCAGTCTAGCTACACATTTTTCAAACAGCTCTGCCGATGGCGGCTCGGCGTCTCATCAAAGGTCTCACCTCGCCCTGGTCACTCGGCTTCTCTGGCTTTGGGCTCGCGTATGGAGCTTATCACATATGGGAGTGGGTTCAATGTTTTATTATAAGGGTGTGGAGCTTTACTTTCCATTCGCGACATCGCGTGGGCTAGCAGAGTATGTCCTAGCTCGCTGACTAGACAGAAACAGGCGCCCAGAGAGCTAGAGCTAATGGCTTTAAAGGCAGCGCCCACGTTCATTTGATGTTCCCGCGCCCTTTCTGGATATCATAGCCCTCCCCATAAGGATGCAGTATGTACTAGTTTTGCATCTCAAAAAGGCGAGAGGATAGCGCCGTTCGCTAGTGAAGAGTCGGCCGCCCCGCCCACCTGGCCAGCATAGGGTTCTATATAGGGCATTTTCCATGATTTTTTTTCTGCTTTTTCTTCACTACTGGATCACGTATTATATGAGCTCCATAACTCATTATTCTTGAAAGCGGGCTCAGCCTTTAAAGGCTAAGCCAAAGCAGTTATGGCAGCCAGGTGGGCGGGGCGGCATCCTCTTCACAAGCGGGTGGCGCCATCCTCTCGTATTTTTGAGCTGCGAAATTAGTACATCCTCCACCCTTGTCGACAAAGCTACGATATCTAAGGAGGGCGTAGGAACATCAAATGAACGCGGGCGCTGCCTTTAATATGCAGAAGCAGAGAGACTCGACCATCCGCAACAATGCTACTTTGACTGGATTCAGGGCAGGTCGTGAGTTGGGGATCGCAAGCGGGCCGTTGTGAGTTGGGGATTCCAAGCTAGAGGGTCATACTCGGACGCGGAAAGGAGCGAGGCGGTTCTTGCCTCAGAGAAAAATTTTCGATCGTAGACCCTCCCCCCCCCCCCCTCCCTTCGCCTCGCTTGACGGTAGCTTTTGAGACGAAAGCAATGATTGGGAAGATTTTTTATGAAATGGTCGCTAGTGTGGGCAATAAGGACGGAGGTCGTACCACAGAAGGAATTACTGAAGGGGAAGGGGGGGGGTTGTTCATATCTTCTAGGAACTTTCCCTGGAGGGGGATGTTCCGTCAGCGGATTGGTTTTTAACACGAATGCAGCGTCAGTCACTCCAGCAGCACGTGCTGTGTTGCCTTCTCAGGATATCTGTTAACGCGCAGCCTCCTTCCTTTCTTCCTCATTCCTTCTTTTTCTCCTTCATCTCTTTCCTCTTCCTTAGTCCTCTCCTTCGAAGTGCTCGGCCATTAAGTGCAATGCAAAGGACCCTCGTAGCGAAGGAATGTCCGGTTGACAACAGCCCTGTGACCATTCCACAATCGCCGCGACTAGAAAGTAACGCTCCACACCCCAATCAAGTATGAAACTGTACTGGAGAAGCATACTTACCTGATGGACTTACGGTTTATTGAAAGGAGTGTTGTCAATAATTTTTAAGTGCTACACAATCTGGTGCTAAATATGATCTGAATGAAAACCTCGAAGGAAAGACGTATATCGTTACTGGAGCAACGTCTGGAATAGGACAAGTATGGGTTTTGTCTTTTTTGACATTAGATGCTGAGGTGAGTTACTGCTTATCTGCTGATTCAGGCCACTGTTGAAGAACTCGCCAAACGAAATGCCAGGGTAATTATGGCATGTAGGTGAGTTGAAAGGTCAGCTGTAAGTTGAATAAGTTCTAATCGAGTGTTCAGGAATCGTGAAAAATGCGTTCAAGTAAGAAGAGATATCGTTTTGAATACGCGAAATAAGCAGGTTTACTGTAGACAGTGCGACTTAGAGGATTTCGACAACATTCGAGCTTTCGTTCAAAAATTAAGCAAAGGTTCATTCATTTATAGCCATTTTTGCTCGAAGCAACATTGGATTCACTGGCAGCGAGCAATGAGGATATCGTTTCAGGCAAGTTTGAATTGGATAGAATCGATGGACTTGTACACAATGCAGCAATGATGGATGCTGAGAGGAAAGTCAATAAGGTAAGACATTAAGTTTTGTATTTCTTCAACTG